TTATTGACACAAACCTCCAAACTAATCACAGCCCTTCTGTTGTCTTACATGGTAATCAATAATTTCATATTGAATATCAAATATACCATGGTATTAACATGTATTCACATGCCCACTCACAACACTACAAGAACTTGGAATCGATTGAACACGACTGAAGCATCTGTGAGGGAAAACCTCACCTTTCACCTCCATCTCCTCATCAGTTTATCTCCATGGTTACCACATCCAGAATCATCTTCACTGAATTAACTCACGCAGCTCTTCTGCTCAAATCACCAGTATGCCACTAGCTGTCAAAAGATACAAAGCAGAGCAACTAAAGGCTTTTCCAACTAAAGAACTTTTCCATGCGTTTAAATGAAGCCTTTTCAACAAAACAATCAGACTGAGCGGATTCTAGTCTTGCTGCTCAACCTTAAATTCATTTAAATACACTTAGATGTGATGAACATGAGAAGGACGGTTTTGATGCTACTGGACACATTAGTAACCTTGTCAATGGTTTTTAGAGACTTTTAGGGATGGAATGTCCACATACACATTCAATATATCCTGTAAAACTCATACACTTGCTGTATAAATGAGTTTTTCCATTTTTTGGCTGCCTTGATTCAGCCTAGTTCAGATCTGTACTTGCCCTACTAACATCATATGATATTTTAATCTGATAAATATGAAATTATTCAAATATGAATAGCTATTTTAGCTTTTTTTTTAATCAAACATATTGTATACGTGTCAAAAATTATAACATTTCCCAGGAGTTACAATGCAACTGATACTTCTAGACTGAAAAAGAAAAAGTGTTTACACTCAGATTTTAAGTAAATTTAGCATACGGAATGGAGTAAAATCCACTTAACTGAGTTTAAGTAAGTAATATTAAGTGAATACATAAATTTGAATTCACTAAATTCTTAAAGGCAAGTGCTTGCATAACATAACACTTTTAAAATAACACATTTACCTTCCAAATTCAGTCCTATGCTGGGAAATAAAAATCCCCATATGCATTTCAGTTGAATGATTCATGTAGTCCTAACATAAACAGATTACGTAAACTTCAGTTTTGCATATTTAAATGGACTGAACACAGTGAAATTAAGCTGTGATAAAGTGTTCAGCAACTGTCACTTCAGCTTGTTTTAATTAAGTAAATAATAATAATTCCTATCTTGTTTTTGTGTTATTTCTATTTTGTTAGGGGTCCATTTGACCCACATATTTTTCTACTTTGAGTCTTACATTTCATAAGACAAAGTTTTCAGTTTTTTTACCTGACTCTTTAGTGTTTTTCACAGTGTTGATTTTGCATGGAAAACAATAGAGGTCAATCTGACTTCAACACACAAGTCAAAGTGACGTGACATGCGGCCAAGTATGGTGACCCATACTCAGAATTACTGCTCTGCATTTAACCCATCCTAAGTGCACACACACAGCAGTGAACACTCACACACCCGGAGCAGTGGGCAGCCATTTATGCTGCAGCACCCGGGGAGCAGTTGGGGGTTCAGTGCCTCAGTCGTGGTATTGAAGGAGGGAGACTCGAACCAGCAACCTTTGGGTTACAAGTCCAGCTCTCTAACCATTAGGCCACAATTTCCTATAATGTATCAAAGCTCTCTGATGATCCGTACTGTTGAGGTCTGTTCTCTCTTATGTAAGTTTCTCTCGCTCACTGCATTGAAGCGTCAGTAGAAAGTGAGAACGAGGGCTGGGTTTGATCACCCCACCGTCATGCGGCACTCGCTAAATCCCTCCGCATGAGCCTCCCAGATAAAGCCCAGATTCACGCCCAGGAGAACTGGCCTGGATTTCATCATCTCACTGTGCATGCAATGTGTGTATCCGAGGGTGTGTGACCGAGCAGTGAGCTGTGCTGATAACTTCAAACTCTGCTGAAAAAGAGGAATTAGAACGACAATCAAGGCCAATAAAGGAGTGGCTGTCCTCAAATCTGGAGGTGACTGAGTTCAGATCAGACACCTACTGTCAAACTCCTACTGCTGCGTGCTGACCGAGTCCAAGAGGAACACAAGATTACAATGAAATCATTGAGTTATATGAATAATCTGAGACCTGGCAGATGGCTCGACCTTGCAAAAGGACACGAATGGTGACTGGGTGCATTGAAATGCTGCAGGTTTGCTGTTGAAAAAGTTTGGCTTTGGAGACAATTTAGGTGTTTCAAAAGAGTGGAAACAAAGGTGTCAATGTGTACTTTGATCTCTAATACCACCCTGCATCACATTTCCTGAACGAAATCCAATAATGAATTAAATCGTTATCATTTTGGGGTGCTGATTCCAATAATAGTGTCCGTTTTGCTCAAGCATGTTACACTTTCTCAGTAAATGTGATGCATTTTGTAGCATTTTTGCTCTCGATAACCATTTGTATGGTGAAGAAGTCTTGTATTATCCCTTAATCAGCAGAAAAACTGCCACAAACACATGATTCCTGTCTGAATCTGAGCCAGACTTCAACTATTTGTTCAATTCTCAGTCAATTTATGATTTTGTATGATTGATTCTGATTCATTGATTTATTATGCATAATCCACCTTTTCCACTCCTTTGCAGATTGTAAATTAAATGAGTAGGCTACTTTTTTTTGACATTTTACTGTTATTTTGATAAGTGCATTCAACCTGATTAATATCCATGATTGATTATTCATTCTTATTTTGTGAAAAAACTGTAAATGATGGAAAGTTTATTGCTATTTTTGAACTCAGCATCATCAAATGAGGTAATAATAGGCCTTTTCTGCAAATCAGCATATTTGTTAAGCGTCTGCTAAATGCTTACTTGATTATTTGCTAGTATTTTGGTGTGTGCAGTCTTTCTGTCTACAAACCTGATAAATATCAAACGAATGAACAAAATAAAATATACTAACCAAATACTACTACCGCAGCACAACCAAGATCAAAACTGTGTATTAATGATATTTATACATACTATAGGCTACAACCGATGTACCTTCTCTTGAAGTTACTTTTTTTTTTTTTTTGCTTTTGATTTGCATAAAGCTGAGCATTTCTCTTTTTGATGCTCACAACACCTCCTCCACTGTCAATCCCACACTTAATAATCAATATTATTGAACTGGACCAAGAGTGACAGTCAACATACACTGTCGTTTAAAGGTTTAGGGTCAGTCGATTTTTAAAAAAATAAATTCATACTTTTATTAGCGTATAAAGCGTTATTATATTAGCATTAAACTGATCAAAAGTGACAGTAAAGATAATATTACAAATGATTTATATTTTTAATAAATTCTGTTCTTTTGAACATACTATTTCACCACAAAAAGTTTCCACAAAAATATTAAGCAGGACAGCTGTTTTCATCATTGATAATAATCAGAACTGTTTCTTGAGCAGCAAATCGGCATATTAGAATGATTTCTGAAGATCATGTGACACTGAAGACTGGAGTAATGATGCTGAAAATTCAGCTTTGATCTCAGGAATAAATTACATTCTACAATATATTACAATAGAAACCAGCTATTTTAAATTTTAATAATATTTCACAAAATTAAGTTTTTTTGCTGTATTTTTAATCAAATAAATGCAGCCTAGGTGAGCATGAGACTAAAAACATTTAAAGGCGGGGTAAGCGATTTTTCAAAAATGCTTTAGAAAACTGATTCGGGCTGAATAGCAAAACAAACTTGTAGCCAATCAGCAGTAGGGGGCGTGTCTACTCATGATGTGGAGGAGAGAGAGTTCAGTGCACAAGACGGACATTAGCCGAGCCGAGCGACAGAAAGATAGAGATGGCGGATACGAAACAAAAGAGGAAAATGTCTGCGGAACAAAAGAAGGCTTAAGGCAAGAAGGAGGACCCGTGTAAATATCGGATCAGCTTTCCAGTGCTGGAGAGAACTGAAGGAGCTGCGATCTGATGCCGAGGTTGCTTTGTTTCTTCTCGATAGGTGAGTAACACTATGTCTGCGCCACAACAGTTAAAGTCTGTCTAGTACACTGGACACGACAAAGCGACCGCTGAAAATCATTTGAAATTTGTGTCAATACGTCATGAATAGAATGCAGCAGCAGTTTTCTGTCTGGGATTTGTCATGTCGTGCCGTGCCGCATCCAGTGTAGACCATAGATATGTATATATATACAGTATATCTATAGTGTAGACAGCATCACTGATTATAATGAGTTCTATTGTATTTTGTCTCGCCGAGCCACTCGCATCCGGTGTAGACACGGTGTAACATTGGTTTTGCTTTGTTTCACAGAAGTAATCGTTGCCTGGGTTGCGTACGTATGTGTGGGGCGGAGCTATCAAAATAGGGGCGAGACCCTTTTGGGGTAGGGGCGTGTTTGTTTTGGTGATTTCAAATGTCAACATTGGCTACCAGAAATCACTTACCCCACCTTTAAAAAATCTTACCAATCCCAAACTTTGTAGTCAACACAGATTTCGCAGCTGCAGCAAACATCCAAAGCAATGAAAATATTACGCATTGAGCCTCAACTAAACACGTTTTGTACATTTTACACCATCCTATACAAAAGTCTGAAGATCCTGTAGTAATGTTATGAATCTGTGCCAGAAGGCAAGTCATCATTCACAGCATCTCTGCAGGCCTCTCTGGTAACTTAACTTTTACCAACTTTTTACTGAAAAGTTTGGGGCACCAAAAAATAAAAAATAAAGGTTCCTTATATGCATCAATGGTTCCATAAAGAACCTTTAACATCCATGGAACCTTTCCACTGCACAAAAGGTTCTTTATCGTGGAAAAAAGGTTCTTTAAATTATTAAAATTTTCTTCACACTAAATTTTTTTATTTTTTTTATTTTAAGAACTGTGCACCTAAAGGTTCTTTGAGGAACCCAAAATGATTCTTCTATTGCATCACTACAAAAACCTCGTTTGGAAGGTTTCTTCTTCAACTTCCCTCTTGTGCTGAATTTGATGAAAGGTTGAAAATATTTAGCAGTGCAACACATGCAGACACTCACCCATTGGCCAGATTGTCGTCATCGTCGTCGTCATTAAGGCTCTTGCAATGTACATCAGAATCACTCAGGTAACCAGACTTGAGGTCTCTGTCTCCGGCGTCCATGCCTTCGATGAACTCACTGCGTGACGTGTGGCTGAGCCGGCTGGAGCAGCGGGCAGGCATGGTGTGAGAGATGTACTGAGACGAGGCCTTGCTGCCCGACACATAGCTGCTGCCCGTTGAGGAAGGAGCGTCGCCGGCTTGCAGACGAGGACTGGACTGGCCGTGGCGCCAGGAGAGAGGAGAGGAGCGGTTGGAGAGGCTGGAGATGCTACGAGCATTGGTTTCATCACTGTCGTAGCAGACACTGCTGTCCAGACAACTGTAGACGGAAAGAGAGGGTTACTGATGCATGCAAAACATAACATAACAGGGCTGCTGGATCGGATGAGGGCCACAGGAACTCATGACCTACTAAAGAAAAGGATGCATCTGTGGTAGAATTCATCTGTTGAGGATGAAAATTTCATAACCAGATGCACCAGCTCAATTGAATAATATAACAGTTTCCTTCACCACATGAACATGGAAGAGCTATTTTTACACACTTCTCTCAAGATAATTCATCACACAGCTGTGAAAAGAAAATGCACTTGTGGGTTGAAATATTTGATGCACTCGAGGCATAAAAAGCACACAAACACACTGACACTGGGTTATTCGGTTAGTGTTAGCCAGCTGAAGGAGAATTATTTGGTCTGTTATTCTTGCTAGTGGGTCACTTGGTCAATGTAACTCGGTTGCCAGCAGGTCTGTTAATAATTTCAATCTGTTGTCGATGGGTTATTTTAGGACTGAACGATTTGGGAACAACTAATTAAATTTTTTTTAGAGTTCAGGTTTGCTGTATTTGATTTTAGAGCTGCACAATTTGGCCAATAAAGTTATATAAAATAATGATGATGATTTTTTAAATTATGATTATTAAATAAAAATATTAAAAAAATACTCTAATAATAATAATAATAACATAGTATAAAATAAAATACATATAAATTTTTTTTTTTTTTTTCAAACATTAAATCATTTAGCTTTTATTTTGGTAAAAAAAATTAAAAAGCCCTAAAAACTTCTCCTTTGTTGCAATATACCTCATAATTTTTCATAATTGTTGTCTGTTGTCGATGGGCTATTTAAGGGCTAAATTATTTGGGGAAGAAAAAATATATATTTTTCTGAAAAAAATAAATTACAATGTATTTTTTTTAATGGAGCTTCAGGTTTGCTTTGCTTGTTTGTAGGGTTGCACAATTTGGCCGATAAAATTCTATTGTGATTATATAAATACGGCTATAATAATAATTATTATGACGATCATTTTTATTATGATTATTATTATATTTATTATAAAAATATTACAGTGAGAAATATATGATTGTAATAATACTATTGTCCTGTAAAATAAAAAAATTAAGAATTTAATAAAATATTAAATTAAAAAATAGATTATTATTGTAATAATACTACTGTACTGGAAAAAGCAGCATCTAATAAAAATAATAATGTCTTTTTATAATAATACAACTGTAAAATTACAAATTTGATACTTGCTTCTTGAGTACTTTTCAAACATTAAATCATTTGTTTATTTGTCTTGGCAACAGGTTTATAAATGCTTCTTATTACACATAGTAAAAAGCGGTATTATTTTGATTGATTGTTCAGTCCTAAGAAAAAATTGTTCAGTTTTACTCATATTTGTCAGTTGCATGCATCTGAATGATATATCAGTTGAGTTGATTATGAAATGGAATGAGTGATCTGGATTCTGGATCCAGCAGCATTACTGGCATTCATGGCAGACCTGGATTGGTGATAAAGGACCACATTGGAGTTTCTAGACAGAATAAATGTTTCATTTCTTAGTACATAGTATAAAATAAAATACATATAAATTTTTTTTTTTTTTTCAAACATTAAATCATTTGTTTATTTGTCTTGGCAACAGGTTTATAAATGCTTCTTATTACACATAGTAAAAAGCGGTATTATTTTGATTGATTGTTCAGTCCTAAGAAAAAATTGTTCAGTTTTACTCATATTTGTCAGTTGCATGCATCTGAATGATATATCAGTTGAGTTGATTATGAAATGGAATGAGTGATCTGGATTCTGGATCCAGCAGCATTACTGGCATTCATGGCAGACCTGGATTGGTGATAAAGGACCACATTGGAGTTTCTAGACAGAATAAATGTTTCATTTCTTAGTATTTTCAAAAAAATCTGAAAATAGCACACATACACTGCACTGGACCTTTCACAGTGACGGCGCAGCCACTCCCAAACCTCATGACCGGCTTTTCCATTCGCTTTCAGTGCCACATCACATCCTACATGAAGCCAAAGCAAAGGTCCTGCTCTCTCCACATCGCACACTATGTGGCAAGAACATTTATAGAGTTTTTCTCATTACTAAAATCAACAATGACTGTAATGGCAAAAGCAGACTTGAACTAGATCTTTGCATTTCTAAAATGAGTGTGTTTGCCCATGCAAAATATAAAACAAAAATGATTTTTTTTAAAGGAGCTTCAGGTTTGATTTGCTTGCTTGTAGGGCTGTACAATTTGGCAAATAAAATTATATTAATTATTATGATGACTATTTTTATTATAATTTTTAAAATAAAAATATTGCAATGTGAAATATATTATTGTAATAATACTACTGTACTGTAAAACAAAAATTAAGTAAATTAACTGAAATAAAATTAAATAAAATATAAAAAACATTAAACTTAATTTATTTTAGCTGCTTTCCAGGCAATATTTCTCATTTTCATTTAGTTTACCTTGATGTACTAAAATATATAATTAAATAATAATAATAATAATGTAGCGAATCAGCTCATGGGGAAATATTAATAATTAATCATAACTAGTTATAATTAATTATAAATATTTAGATCCGCTGTAGATATTTACTTGACCTCTCAGGGTCAACTGTCTGTCAATTCTAAGAATGTTAATTTCCTGGTTAAGGGAAATAACTTTCTTACTGTACAACTCTACACAAAGCTTGTAGCATAAATCTGCATGATTAAGTGACTCCAGTTATGAGCAAACAATGAACAACGTCAAGTGTGATACAAGTAAGACTTTATTAACTACATGACTTAAACTAGTCTAACATACTACATAAACACTTAAAGTAGTCCAACATACTACATAAACACTTAAACTGGTCTAACATACACATACACACACACACACACACACACACACGCATACAGTT